CTCATGTTATCACGGGGCTTAAAAATATTCTCTTGTAACATTCCACATCCTATTATCACATTTCATATAATTTGGGGTTTTTTTGATAGAAGATGAATGTTTGTATTCACGTAATTTTAATTGTGGAGTAATTTTGTTCTTATTTATTGATAGAATACATGAATATGTACTCCAATTTCTCTGATAAGAAGAGGAGGAAATTTGGTTTTGAAGTTTTATGGTAATTGTTTGAAGAGAGGCATCGACATATTTTAGGGCGAACTTTAATTCTATGACCAATAATCTTTAGTAAATGGATTGTCACTCTAGAATACGAGTCTTTGTAGTTGACGCTATAATAATTGCATTTAAATGCAATATTTCCTCCACATTTAGAAGTTTTTCCAATTTTGTTACATGATTCCACAAAAGCTGATTTTCTTCAACATTAGGCTTTGTTGGGCTATCACCACTTCTGAATGCATCACCACTATAGCTCCTTATGCTTTTATAGAATATTTCAAAAATTAGCATAAAAATTTAAAGTTAAATTATTATCAACATGAAAATTCAAAAACCAAACTTTTTTGTGTGGAAGAACACATGAAATTCATAAAACAATGATTGAAAATTACAGTTCAATATTTTACCTTCTATTTTCTTCTAACCTTTTCCATTTCTCTCATAATTTTTTCTCTTGTAGAAGTAAATTTTCAATCAAAGGGCCATATTGGGAGAGATGTCTCTTACACTGTTTTGAATATAAAAGTCAATAAAAAGAAGTTCTAATCTTCATTTTAATTTTACGCAATTTTTGGATGGTTCAATTTGGTTAATTTTACAAAACGACTTGAATATTACGACTCGCCTCATAGACAAAAAATGTCTCATTACCCAATTACACAATTTTATACCTTTATTAGACTGAAAATATTGTATTGATTTTAAAGTTGGAAAATTAAAAATTTTGATTTCTTAGTTGTGTATGACTGAAATGAGAAATTTAATATGGATAAATTAGAAAGGATATTAAAGAATATTTATATTTGAGGAATGGTTGGATTATCAATAAAAAATAAAAATGATTAAAATTGACTTGTGTCATTTGGATATGTAGAATGAAGGGTAGAAATGCGCCCATTGGATGAGTGGCTAAATTTATTAGTGAAGGATTATGAAGGGTAGACCTAATCGAGTCTTTAAAACTTGGTTTCATTTTGATCTTAAAAGTTTTGGTAGTTTCAATAGTTTCATTGGTTTTTGAATTTAATTTTTGTGCTTTGTTTTAGTTGGTATTTTATTATTAGATATTTCAAATCTATCCTTATAAGATGAAACTAGGAGATATATCTAATTAGCATTTAAACTACAGAATACAGAACTTGGTACTCTACTTGAATGATATAATTATATTATAATTTTGATGATCGTTCAAAAGTTTCTGGGAAGCTTCCTTTCAGGTGAAACTCCAAATCATCTTTCGAAACTTTATTGAACTTCTTTAGTTTTAGTTGAAACTATCAAAATTGGCCGAAATAAAAGATACTAATTGGTTTCCTTATCAGATACAATAGGCATTGATTAAAAAACTATTCAAATTGAATTCAAACCAATAAAATTGAAAATTGGAGGGGTATTAAACTAACATTGGCATGCATGCATATTATGTGGTGAAAATTATGAATCATTCAAATAAAATTTAAATTAATGATAATTCATCCTTGATTGGCTAAAATATGACATAAGGGAGTATTTTTCAATGATATGGGAGTATGATTTGTAAACTATAAGCATTATACTTTTAAAGATTAAAATTAATATAATTTTATAAATTTTAAAGATACGAAAAATGAAAGATAATCTATATAAATTTGGGTTCATATAAGTATAATACAAAAAATTATTGTCTTAAGGTTACATGAATAGATGTTCTTCAAAATGATTTGTGAAGAATATAGGTATAACACCTTAGGTAACACTCAATATGAACTAATAGAAAATTATGATTTATAAAGCATAATCCAAGTTGTTTGGATAAGGCTAATGACAATTATGTGATTTTTTTAAAATTCATTTTGTAGATCATGTAATAAATAATTATAAAAGTGAGATTTATAAAATATTCAAAATAATAAGGTAAAATGTACATATTTTTTGTACTTGTCAAAATATATGAAGTAATATAACTAAAACAATAAGGTAAAATTCACATATTTTTATACTTGTTAAATGATATGAAATATACATATTGGTATTATATATGTACAATACATAAATTTACTTTGGCTTTTGGTTACATAAATACATGCTTACAATGATTTGTGAAGAATATGTATAAGTGTTACACTTTAGGCAACGCTCAATATGAACGAATGAAAAATGAGGACTTATAAAGCTGAGATCTTAAATAGTTTGGATAAGGCTAATAATTATGATGTTAATTTTTAATGATTTATTTTGAAATTTAAGATATATAAAATAAATAAAGCAATAAGATAATCTTGTTACATACTCCAGTCAAGTTATATGTATTAAATAGTCTTAGTTAAAGATGAATTTGTTGAATGCCACAAGAAGTTATTTGGTGAAGGGGTATCAACTTGACTATGAGTTGACTTACTCATGAGCAAGTTAGATTATCAACTTGGATCATGAGTTAAGTGATTGCCACAATTGCAATCACAACTAAGAAGTTATGGTTTAGCCTATGGCAAATTCAATTAAGAAGTTAAATTTGGCCTTCACGTTGCATTGATCTTTACAAGTACTGTTTGATCAGACTAATCATAGCGATATATCATGAAACTAGTCATCTTTGTGTTACACCAATAACTTTACATATTCAATAATAGTTTAATAAGGATAGTTCTATTTGGGTTCATATAAGGTGAAAAGAAGCATATCACAATCTCCATGATAAATAATGGATTTAAGTAGTGCTATTGATTTCTGACCTTTGATTGAGTAAAATAATATTATAATAGGATGTTATTTGGGGTTATGAGGAAACATTGTAAGAGTTATTTGTTGGGAATTACGTTATTAGCATTGTGCTATGAAGCTATGATTACTAATTAATAGTTTTGGGGTGGTACAAACAATTTTTAATTAGAATAGTATTACATCAAAGATTGACATTTGTTTTCTTTTGACATATTTATAAAAATTTCTAAAAAATGATTTAACATGAGGTATTTTAGTTAATTTGCAAATGTTATATTTGATGTATGAGATATTTTTTGTAAGTGATAAGTTGCAATCATGGTGGGAGTAAAAAAAATTAGGATTATTTGAATAAAGATAAGTGTATGATTTTCAAGTTTAGTGGATATTAATGGTAAGTAGCTAATGTTGGAAGATCAATTTATCATAGTGCAAATGATTAATGTTTGTGTGAACTTAATGGATTTTGTTAGAGAGATGGTCCGTGTGAACTTGAAGTATATGCTAGGTTGCCTCTACTTTCTTTTTAAGATTACATGTTTAAATCATGAAGTTGCCTCTTTGCAATGCTTTGATGAGGTACATGCATTTCTATCTCATATTTATGGGAGGTTTCATGACTGAGTTATACATATTTTTTATGAGAGTTAGCACTATAAAACTGTTGAAAAAAAGCTAGATGGTTTGTGCATAGGCAGTACATGACTAAAAAATGAATTGTTAAAAGTGAATAGATTAGAAAGTAAAAAATGGTTGCTAATAACATGGGTAGGAACTATTTTTCACTTTAAATAGTTACCTAATGTGAGTGAAGAGCAAAATATGAAAACTAAAAATAACCATAGTAGTGAAATGAAGACAAGCGTACTTAAATGTATGATGTTTGGTGAGATCCGCCTATTCATAATAGAGTGATCAAATGATTCCACTAGATATCAAAAGATGCATTGTAGATTTCTTTTTTTACAATTTAGGAGATGGATCAGAGTCACCTCTGGTAGAAACCAGATGGATGAAGAGAATTATTGCTTCCTATGTGTTTGACTTGATCGATAATAGGAAGAATACATATATCTGTTGTTATTCTTGGATAACTAAAGGAGAAGGAACATGCTCTTAGTGCGGTTGTCAGGAACTGCTAGGTGAGTAGCCTTGTGCTGCTGTCGAGCGATGCAAGGAGGGGAACACAGCCCACCTGTTGCAAGAACGAAGATGAGAAAAGCGGTTTCTGACTCTGCTCTTGAAACCAAGAGAAAACAAAGAGCTGCTGCACTATTCTTCCTCAAACTATTCATAGATATATTCACATCTCCCTCTATAGTATTATGTATACAATTTAGTCCTCAAATATACAAGATTGGTCCCAAATGGCCCCTCGGGGACTAGATTGAGATCAATCTTGCATAGTTAAATGATTAAATTGGGATCAATTGTGTATCTAAGTTTCCATCAATTTCTACTTCAGGGGTCATTTGGGATCACTTTGTATAGTTGACGGACTAAATTTTAAGTGATATTTTGAGACTAGATTGGCCACATGAGAAAAATCAGGGGTCTATTTTGGAATTTTTTTTTCACTAAAAGAATCTCATAGCTTCCATTCATATTTTTGCAAAAAAGAGGAGATGTCAGCCGCATCTTATGGAAATATCATTTTGGTGAAAATATGGCTTTGTAAATAGAACACTGAATTGCAGAGGAGATGATTGATTGTATTGATAGTTTCTTTTAATTATATTAATATGTTTCTTTTTCTCTGGAAAATATTGGCTTTGTAAATAGAACACTGAATTGCAGAGGAGATGATTGATTATATTGATAGTTTCTTTTAATTATATTAATAGGTTTCTTATTTTCTGTGCACAATTATTAAGAATGATAAGCATAACATTTTTCTTGATTTTTTCTGTATGTGCTGAAACCATTGGCCATTAATTGGAAGGCACATTACATTGAGTTATTTAATTATTTGAGGTTTTTGTGGTGATTGTTTGGATCACCTTGTTTTTCTCATGAGCATTTTATTTGTAGGCATTCCTCTAACAGTAGCTTTTGTTTTCTGATTTAATATCCTGAAGCATATATACAAGGAAGTGGGAGCAATTGGAAAAAACTCGGGTTGCAAATATTGTGCTGTAAGTGTGTTGTACTACATTCCATGTAGAACTTTGTCCACATGTCTTCTCTTAGAACATGTTCTTTCTTTCATGAGCAGAGCAGTTCGTTTGAGTGGTATCCTACTTTGAAGTTTAAGATATCCAACAGAGATGTTCAAGGGAGGAAAGGCCTTTCAATTTTGGCAGAAGTTAATGAAAAGTTGCCAAAAAAGTTTCAGAACAGAAGCTTTGGTGAATTATTGCCAAAAGACTACTGGAATTTTGTTCCCAATTACCATAAACAGCAGGGATTAAATTCTAACAGCATATTTCTTTCACCTTGGCAGGTATGATAATACTGCACTGTTTTATGAATTTTATTGTTTGCCTCTGGTTGGATCACTATTTTTTGCCGTTTGTTTCAAGAAATAACATGGGTGTTGTATTTTTTTTCCATTTCAATTGTAGTTGATTTGGCCGTATGATTTCATTATGTGGGTACTTATGGTTTTGCATGTGATAGGTGCATGGGAGAAAGCTAGTATACTTATGCCTTTAAACATGTGCATGTCTGAAGTATATTCCTGCATACAAGCATGTGATCCTCTAAATATTCATCTTTTTGTCAATTGCATATCTATTTGCTAGCAAGCATTTGTGGCTTTTATAAATACTCAATATGATTTTAAACTTTCTTTTTTGTAACCAGATTGCATTCATGCCAGGTAGGTCTACTATGGAAGCTATACATTTATTGAGAGGTATAATGGAGAAGTATAGAGAGAATAAGGAGGATCTAGAGGATCTACATATGATATTTATTGATTTAGAGAAAGTATATGATAAAGTTCCAATAGAAGTGTTATGGAGAGTTCTAGAAAAGAAAGGGGTTAATAATGCTTGTATTCAAGACATTAATGATATGTATGGTATGCAAGGAGCTTTTACTTGTGTTGCAAACACAAGGTTGGTTTTGACAAGTATTTCCTATTTCAATTGATTACATCAAGGATCAACCTTTAAGGCTATATCATTTTGCTTTAGTTTTTGAATGTCTTACTAGACCTTTGCAAGAGGTTGTACCCTGTTGTGTGCTTTTTGCTGATGATATTCTTCTTTGTGATAGACTAGAGAGGGAGTTGAGGGTAAACTTGAATTATGAAGGTCAACCTTAGAGTTTAAATGCTTTCATTTGAGTAGATCTAAAACTGAATATATTGAGTGTTGATTTTTTGTAATAATTAGATCTAGTGGGGCGATTGTGACTTTGGGTGATCAAGTCATTTATAAGAGTACACTTTTTTCAATATCTTAGGTTCTATTGTTAAGTGATGGTGAAATGAATGGGGATATTATTAAGTAGAATTCAAGTTGGATGTTTGAAAGTGATGAATGCATAGGGCTTGATGTGTGATAGAAAAGCCCCCCTCAAACTTAAGGAAAATTCTATAAGATGGTGGTTAGACCTACAATGCTTTATGGTACAAAATGTTGGCCATTAAAAGAGAAGCATAATATTAAGTTTAGTGTTGCAGAGATGAGGATGCTCAGGTGAATGTGTGCTTTACTCTTAGAGATAGGATACGAAATAAGCATATACATGAAGAGGTTGGAGTTGCTCCTAGTGGAAGATAAAGATTAGTGAGAGTCTCCTTAGATGGCTTGGTCATTATAAAATGGCGGCCTTCGATGACTCTGTTAGGAAAATAGATGTATTAGATTTGAATTTATTTAGAGAAGGTATAGGTAGACCTAATAAAAAAAAGTATAGGTTAGACCTAAAAAATACTTGGTTAGAAATATTAGAAATGACCTTTCTTTATTATTTTTAAATGAGAATTTAACTTTTTAATAGGACATTAATGGAGAAATATGATTCATCTGGCCGACGGGATAATGGCTTGATGTTGTTGTTTTAACCAGTTTCTGTTCATTATTTTGATGGCTCTGCTAGTTATGCCTTTTACTTAAATTACTTGTGAACACCTTATGCAAATGAAAAGGATATATAACTAATACGAATAATTCATGAAAACAAAAGCATATCATCTTTAAAAAAATTAAATGAAATTATCATATAAATTTTACTGAAAACAAAAAGAAATTACATATATAGATAGAATAGTCAAATGACAAAAATTATGCAAGTTTGAATAATTGTTGTGGTAAGGCAATGATGTTGATTGTGATTTTATATATACTAGCATGCAATTACTTAGAGTAGTAAAATTACAATATTTTATTTATATATATATATATTATATATATATATATATATATTATATAATATATCTATATATATATATTATATAGAGTTATAGATGTATATATATAATTAGGTAAAAATATGTATTAGTAAATTATATAATATTCTATACTGTTAATATATTTAATATTAAATTGGCTTTTAGTAATAAATTGGAATATATATATATTTAATATTCTATATGTTTTGGAATATCTTATTTGCAGTAAATATGCTTGCCCTTTTTATTCTGCTTTTTATATAAGTATTGATATGGATATTGGCTTGTTTGTTTTAAGACCAAAGACAATAACATAGGGGATATTAGAACTTTATATAACCTATTTCAAAACTTTTGTATTACTTGAAGGATATTTTACATTGTCTTGGCACTTTTTGAACTAAGAATCTCATAATACTAAACATCCTAATTTACCATAAGTTTATCTTAACTAGCTAGAGGTCTTTACTCTTGTGCAGATTTAAATGGTGAAAGGTGCAATATCTTATGTAGACCAAGCCAAAAAATAAAAAAATAGACTAGATTGCTCAAATCACTTGAATACTGGAGTTTGCTGGTGGAGGGGGCTGGCAGCAAGTTTTACATTGGCCTTCATGGGATGAGAGATGGAGATGCAATTTGTTCAACTGTTGAAACCTCTCCGTAGCATGCGACTGCGTAGATTAGGCTAGGTTTTAATATTTGAGTTAATAAATAAAATATTACAGCCGGAGGCATTCGCCTCAAGCCAAAGAGGCGAGGCGAGATGTGCCTTAGCCAAATTGAGGTGTGTGCATTAAAGGTTTGACTTGAGGTGTGTGCCTTGAGATGTTTTTCTCTTCAATTGTGCTGAGGCGCCCCTCAATGCGCAACTCGGATAGAGCAACTTTAAATAATTCATAAATGATAAGAAAAATCTCGTGGAACTTGGCTATCTCCATTCATTGTTCACTTATAACAATCAAAGGTGATGTTAGACACCTTAAAGATACGAAAATACACAATTTTGAGATAAAATTTGTGAGTAATGTTCTTTTCCATGGTTCTTAGTCTCATGTAGTCAGTGATAAGAGTGGAGTTCAGCACCCCTTGTTCATGTAATAATTGAGAAGAATTGCTGTGCCACGATCTTGACTTTGTCACGTGGTAAGCTAAACCAACTGGGCTGTCATGGCCTCCAGCTACTTGTTCTTCCAATGAATTGATTGATCAATCACTCTACAATAGTTTCTATGTCATGCTTGATGATGAATGAATGTGGTTTCTTTTAGCTCTTTAGTCTAAATACTATGAATATTAATTTTAATCTAAATCCCTCTTTCAATGTATTTAGCTTATCTGTTTGTAGTGAGTTCAGGTTTTGTTCCTGTCTGCATTGTTGCTTTTCTACCTAAAAGTATCCTTGGGTGAACAAGCTTTATAAATAAATAATTCCGAATTTTCTTTCCTTATGTTTTTTTTTTGTTTGTATTTCTAGGTATTTTGTTTACTGAAACAACTTGATCTAGATTTCATCAATCAGTTTGTTTCTAGGAGGGAATTGCTATTTCTATCTTGTCTACCAGTTACTCCTAATTCCCATAGAATAGTGGAAACAACACATGCTTTTTCAGATGGATCAAGGATTAGTTTTGTAAGTTGCTTTCACTCCTTTAGTATTCTTAGCAGTGTTTCACATGTCTTACTGATAATATCTTACTTTTATATGATGATATATCGCTTCATATTGCAATGGGAAGGATGAACGAACAAAGATTTATAAAAGAATGGTTGATTTGGGCAAAAAACTTGATGGTGTTCTGCAGCATCCTCAGCTTAGAGCTTTAACGTCCTCCTTCATAACTGACCGAGTTCGAGAATGCTTTGTGTCATCCAAGGCAAGGACATCACCATCCTTTTGCAATCTTGAAGTTATTCTTTTACCATTTATAGGACAGTACATAGAAACCATTGTTAATCTAAATGAATTTCATCTTTTTTATAGCACTTCATTTATTAGTTGCAATTTGTTTTTCCAGGTTTGATCAGTCCATTTCTTCCATTAAATTATTTGTTTATGCTTATAAAGATGAAAAGTTATAGCCAAGAGGACCGTGCTTATTGATTGTGTGCATTTTCTTTGCTGAAATTTGTTCATGTCTTGATGGATGTACAAAAACTGATTAGTAGGTGTTTTATTCTTCTCAAGCTGGTGCATTTTCCCTGCATAATTTTTTATTTTGCATATTAAAATTAGCTTTTCAAGTTGACCCCACGTTGTGGGACAAAGGTTTGTTGTTGTTGTTGTATATTAAAATTAGCTTTGAGGTGCATGTAACTGAACCAAAAAATGCAAAATTATACAAGTTTGCCATTAGCAATCCTCTCAAACTATCATTTGGTTAGACACTAAATGCTGTATTTGGAGATATTCAGAGCATTAAATTTGGTTTCCATTCCAAGTATCCTGTAGGGACGAGAATAATTTTTTGTGGAGTTGCTGACAAACTGACAATTCGTCTATCAGCTTAATTCTAATGTGATCATTAGTTTGAGGAAATACTGCATATCCATGCACATATATGTCCTTATGTGTGTCGACGTCCTTTTCCCCATATTTGAAGATTTCCTTTTCCAAACTTTTCCTTTCCCTCAGGATCTTTCTTGCATTAATAGGTATAATTCCCATATTGCACTCTTACTTCATTGCAACATGATGTTTTTATAATCCATGAGCTTGATCTTATGTTTTGATGATTACAAATATTATTGGATAATTATTTATTTATTCCTAAGCTAAATATTAGATATTTTTCTTGTGTGTCACTAATCATTTCAGGTACAGCATACACCAATCAACATTGAGAATCAAGACTCAAGATAGTGTAGCATTAGTGTATGTGTATAAGTTAGTCTGTGTTTGACAAAGTCTATACTTTTTTTAGTCATTTTATATATTAAATGTATGTTGGCTAAGCAACCGTGCACACACACACACAAGGGGGAGCAGAATTGAATATTTGAATTTTTCTATTAATCATATTATATGTTCCAAATCGTATTGTACAATCTATTCAAACAAAAAATTAAATAAAATGTTTAATTAAATGAGATTAATTAAAATTGGACAATAACTAATTGTATTGTACGAACATCACATCGTACAAGAAGATAATCTATTTTGAGAAGCTCGCCATCGAATATTGGTTACTTAAATCAGACAAATTTGTTAAAAAATTGAACTGGTCATACTATACGATCCATTTCGTACTGTACGAATATTAATTAAAATTGCCTAATTTAATTCTGAGGAATAAGGAATTGAATTAGATCTTATCATTAATGATCTTACTGTATAATAATACATCGTACTGTACAATTCACCCGAGAACTTGCTGGACTAATCTTGGTTCGTCCTGGACAAACTGTGATTCGATTGAACTAATTGTACTGTATAATCTATGCATTATACTGCACGATCAAAATGCTTAATATGGAATATTAGAGTTTTTTTAGTCCACTTTATAAACTTTTGTTATGTCTTTATGACAATAGTACTTGAGCAGTCAGAGACATTTTCTTCTTGGGAGAGAAGAGAGCTTGGAGAATTCGCTTCGCCAGGGAGAGAGAGGAGGTGAGGTTGAGAAAGTGAGTTTTCCTTGAGGGAGTCAAGAGGTTTGAGGGGATTTCGCATGGTTGCTTTGGCTAGCCTGCACCTTGGGTCTTCTAGTTGTGTTTTGGTTAAGCTTTTGGAGAGGAGCTCTAAGAAGGAGATTCTTTGGAGTGAAAGACTTGCTAGTCAAGGAGGTTAGGGATTGGCATCTCCATCGGGCCGGAAGGCAAAAGGAGGAATCGACATCTTTGTCATTCTAGGAGGCGAAAGGTGGGATTGACATCTCTGCCAGGCCGTAGTGGTGAGAGGAGGGATGATATCTCCATCATTGCGAGGAGCATGAGGGTTGACATCTCCGCTGGCCCAAGAAGGTGAAAGGGATCAACATCTCTCGGAGCAAGGAGCTAAAGAAGGGGCGACATTTCCGCCGGGCCGGGAGGTGGAAGGAGGGAGATTCTTTGGTGTCTATAAAGGTTATTCTCCGACTGGTCAAGGGAAAAGGGCTTCTTCACCTAGTTGTGTGCTAAAGGAGAGTTACTTTTAGTGTAATACTCAAAGAGGAAGAACTTTGGGTAGTGGATGTAGGTTAATTTCGACCGAACCTCTATAAATCCGGTTTGCGTACTCTTTTCTTTCTTGTAATTTATTTTTCATATTCTGGTTTGCTTTTGGTTATCTTTGTAAAATATATTTTTTAGTTTGCTTTTGGTTATTTTGGCTAAAGAATTTTTCGGGTGATAAAAGCTCTAGTTGAAGTTTTTATTTTGAAATTAAAAATAAAAAAAGAAGGATATATTTGCTTTCTAATAGTTAAAAAAAATCTTATTGATTTTGGCTTTGTTTGAATAGTTTATTCTCTCAACGCTTCCGCATATGTCGTTTGTTTCGAGCAAAAGATTTTAAAAGACCAATTCACCCTTCTTTTTGGTGTGCCTAAAGCACCAGCAAGTGTTATCAGTGCACTTTCGGATGTGTGGAACTTCTTAAAAATATGCCCTTGTTCTCTTGGCTCATTGCACTATTGAAGGTATAGTTTGTTTTCAACTTTTACCGTTAACCTTCATATACATCTCAAACATGTTTAGTATGTATATACAAAGAGAGATGCCCTTGTCATGTTTTGTAACCAGCATCACTAAGTAATTACGACTATGTCAAGGGAGGGACAATAACTAGAAGCACTAACAGTAGAACTAGTTGCATGCATCCCATAGAGTATTGCTGGAAGCACACAGCAGCACATGCTGCAAACATTCTCAAACTTTTTTGTTGTTGCAGTTGAGATCCCATAAATTATTATCTGGAGATTCTTCTTCCAATATATCTGGAATGAAGTGGCTTAAGGAAGTTGTTCTCAGCAAGAGAACAGATCATGCATTCCGAATGACAATGGTTGGTGATCCAAAGGTGAGGTTAGATGAAGTTGGAATTCCATACGACATTGCTAGAAGTCTTTTTGTTACCGAGTATGTCAGCAAATTTAATTTGGAAACGCTGAGAGCTAGCCAGGGAATTCATCTGTGGAGAGATCAGAAGTTAATCTTTAATCATAAATCAGATCTTCATATTGGTGATAGAATTGAAAGACCATTAGCAGATGGTGATATTGTCCTAGTAAACCGGCCTCCATCCGTCCATCAACATTCTTTGATTGCACTATCGGCCAAAATTCTTCCAATTGATTCGGTTGTTTCAATAAATCCATTATGTTGCTCTCCTTTGCTTGGAGATTTTGATGGAGACTGTCTGCATGGCTATGTTCCACAGTCTATCCATTGCAGAGTAGAGCTTCAGGAGCTTGTCAGTTTGGATTGTCAACTATTGAATGGACTAGATGGTCGAAACCTCTTATCTTTGACTCATGATAGCTTGACTGCAGCATATTTGTTAACTGCAAAAGAGGCTTTCCTGAACAAGTTTGAGATTCAGCAATTAGAAATGTTTTGCCATCACCAATCACCAGTGCCTGCAATCATCACTGGTCCGAATCTTGAGAGTCCTCTTTGGACTGGACAGCAGTTACTAAGCATGCTTTTTCCTCCTTTGGTGGATCTTTATGAAGCCTCTAGGACTCTTCATCATTTTAAGGGTGAACTTCTGTTCGATCCACAGTTCTTGAGTTGGTTGCAGAATAAACCTAACAGTATTTTTTATTGGATGTCCACAAATTACGGAGAAAAAGCACTTGACTATCTCTTTTCTGCTCAGGAAGTTCTCTGTGAGTATTTAACAATGAGAGGCTTAACTGTGTCTTTGGGTGATGTTTATCTCACTTCAGATTCTTATACTAGAACTAAGATGACTGATGAGGTGAACTTTGGTTTGCAAGAAGCAGCAGATGCATGTAGGGCCACAGAGCGTTTGTTGAACAAGTTTGATAGTTCAGTAAATGCTATTGATGATGCAGCAGGCTTATCCCTTCCCCTGAGACTCCAGAAGTTGACATGTTCTATAACACGCATAATTCAGGAATCTATAACTGCATTTAAAAACATATTTTCTGATATTCAATATGCTATACTTAGTTATATAGGGAGTAACAACTCAATGCTGGCGATGATAAATGCAGGAAGCAAGGGTAGTCTGTTGAAGTTAGTTCAACAAGGTGCATGCCTGGGCATGCAATTTTCAGCCAATGAAATACCATTTAACATACCAAGTGTTCTTTCATGTGAACAATGGAACCAACAGAAGAAATTTCATCAGAACCGAGTCCTTGATGATGCCAATGGTGAAGATGTTCAGAAACACTTTGCTGTAATTAAAGCTTCTTTGCTTGATGGTCTGAACCCATTAGAATGTTTCTTCCATTCTTTATCTGGTCGTGCAAATCTCTTCAGTGAAAATGCTCAACTTCCTGGAACTTTGAGTAGAAAGCTTATGTTTTACATGCGGGACTTATACGTTGCTTATGATGGAAGTGTAAGGAATGTTTATGGAGAGGAAATTGTTCAGTTTTGCTATAATTTTCCTGAAAAGGGCAAGTTTTGCAGAGTTTCTTCTGAAAAAGAAGCTTCAACAAGCATTCCAGGTGGTCAGCCTGTTGGTTCATGGGCTTCTTGTTCCCTAACAGAAACTGCATATGGAGCTTTGGAATGCCCAGTGAATCCACTTTGCCCATCCCCATTACTGAATTTGAAGGTTTATAATCCTTAATCCATTTTAACTCGTCTAACTTAATCTTGTAGCTTATTGCAATCCTGAATTGAAGACATTTAATTGGAATCTTACGTGAAAAGCAAGTTTTTTTTTTCTTTGCAGTATTATTTGGTCTATTTTTGAAGGAGTTTGCGTAACCCTTTTTATTCAACTTATTTTTAATTTTGCACACACAAATAACCTCATTTATTTGGAATTTTGTACACCCCTTCCACTTCAACCACAACTTTGAATGGAAATGCTTGTATTTTTTTATTCTTTAAAGTAGATTTTAAAGTATTACCTTGCCATCAAAATGTGGTGGCCGCGTTACCTCGTAATGGTGAGTACTGCAGATCTTACGAGGATTTCTCCACTTCCATTGCTTGATATCAATCTTTTTTTTTTCATACGTTGTGAAACCGTGCTAATGATATAGGCCAAGTCAATACGTGTGTTCTGGTTTCTTTTTACGTTTTAGATGTAATCTGATTTATTAATCAAAACTTATTACTTTTGTTTTTATTTGGAGTTTAGATCATCAAAGCATCATAGATTCAATCAGGAAATCACTGAGTGGTGGTAAGAGCTGGTGATTCCCAGCCTCATAGGAGTGCATGCTTCAACCACATTAATATTTACTTTTTTCATCTTGTGAGATATGATTATGATTTTATTAGAAAGGTTGGAATGACACCTATTTATTTATTGTAATCAAAGACAAATTTAGGTAATTTTGGTAGGCTATGGTAGTAGACGCACTTCTAAAGATACACAAAATTAACTTTTGGAAGGATCATGCAAGAGTAGCGGCAGAAAGGTCATATTGTTAGCAGTTTATGCTCATAGATTTGCTCAAAATAGAGTTAACAAATCTTGCGAAACTCAGAGAAATGAATGGAGAATTAGGACTGATAATTAATGCTCCATATAAATTGTTAAGGTTAATGATGACGATGATACAATTGTGCAGGATTTCATGCATGCATAAGCATTAGGATGCGCATCTACAGTGGATATAACCATGGTTCAATTACATCAATTCATTGGAGTATGCATAGTCCTTGATTGCTCTCAAGCATTTTTATACTATTTATGATATTTCTAGATAGAATTGTTAAAAAGTTTAAGCCAAGCGAACAAAGCATTGTTCTAGTTTCACTTGATCTCAGACTAGCCGTGCAAAATGAGAAAATTTTGGTTGTGAGCTGAAACTTCAGTTAATACCGCACTGATTTCATCGTCAACTGTATTCAGCTTTGACCCGTTTCAATTGAAACTCTCTGCACAAATAATCCACCTTAAGATAATCCAAAAGTTTCCTACAAAAACTTTGACTTAACAAGACTGATCTAGCTATGATTATGTGATATTCGGACAAATGCCCACATCCTTCATCAAGATAGAAAATATTAATTGAGTAATAATGTCAGGTTGAAGAAACTATAAGATAAGCTGATTAATACATAAAATTTGAAATAGATAAAAATGTTAACTTTTGTTTGTTCGAGGGGTATGGGTAACATATGAGTTCGAGAGCGTGTGGAAGACATGAGTGCAAATACTGAATCACTTATTTTTTATTACTTTTAAATAGGTTAGGAAAGTAAACGGCTTAATTTTTCTTGGAAAAGGCAAGAGGATAGTAGAATGATCCGAGTGAAAGCGAAAAAATAACTTTGTTGCTATGCATATTTTTTAATTGCCTAGGTGATAGACATTTGAAATCTTACTATTAAATTATAGCCATCCCTTGACACTTGATCCCACGGCTAGGATGAGAATCCATGAGACGCTCACCTGGATCACACTAATCTCCTTTCCATATTTGGATGACTGATTTAGGATGGATTATATTAGGGCAATTATGCATGATTCTGCAAAGCTTTGACCAAATGGAGGACTCCATGGTTTACTAAGGAGGAGATCTCCAAAATATGCAACCTTCCTTCCTGTCGTTTAAATGGGAAGAATTACTTGAAGTAGTCTCAATTTGTGAAAATCTACCTGAAAGGGAAAGGAAAGATGAATCACCTCTTTGGGGTGGGACCAAAAGAAGAAGATCATAATTTGTGGGCATGAGATGAAGCAGAGTCCATGATCATGTCATGGTTGTGGAATTTCATGACTCCAAAAATTAACAATACTTTCATGTTTCTATCTACTGAAAAAGATATATGGGATGCTGCCAGACAAACATTCTCAAAAGCTCGAGATGCTGCACAAATCTTTGAAATTAAAGTCAAGGTGGGAAGCACAAAATAAGGAAGCAAGACCATGATTGAATATGTCACTCTCCTTCAAGGCTTGTGGTAAGAACTTGATCACTACATAGCATAGAGACCAAGTGTCTAGAAGATGTTGCTATCCTAAAAAGCTTTATTGCGAAAGAGTGCAAGACTTTCTTGCAGTATTCAATACATAGTTTGAGTAGGTTAGAGTTCTGATCCTTAGCAAAGAGGAGACACCCTCACTAAATGAGACTTATTTGTGCTGAGGAAAGCCAATAAGGGGTAATGCTGGAGCCAAAGGTTGTTGAAGATTCATCAATGGTGACAACCAAAGTGGCACCATGGAAGGAAAGAGATAATTATATCTCAAAACCTAAAGATAAAGACTCTCTTTTGTGCAGCTATTGCAAGAAATCAAGACACACAAAGGAGACATGCTGGAAGTTATATGGAAAGCCCCCAAGTATGGAGTGGAATAAAAAAAGTGGGCAAAATGGAACATCACAAGCTAATGCTACAACAACTCAGCCCAACCTAGAAACACAGTCCAGTTTCAGAGAGCTCAACAAAGAAGATATTGGTAAGCTAAAACAACTCCTGATATCCCTTGAAAAATTAACTGCATCTCTTCTCTTGCATTTTCAGGTAAGTTTCATATATCCATTGGTTAAGTGCTTGTAGAAATCATTTAAAAATGTATAGATCATTGACTCAGGATCTACAAATTACATGACTCACTCCACTACCCACTTCATCAACTACACTCCTTGTTGGAGTGATAAGAAAATCATTAGTGCTGATGGTTCTCTTACCACAGTTGTAGGCAAAGGAGATATATCTTTATCTCCATCCCTCCCTCTAAAAAATGTGCTCCACATACCTCAATTATCCACAAACCTAATCACCATACAAAAACTTACCAGTGTTCATAATTGTCAAGTCCTATTTAACCATACTTGTTACTTATTTCAGGACTAGTGATCGGGGGAGAAGATTTTGCTTGCTAAAGAGAGAGATAGACTGTACTACCTGGAAGAGTTGAACAAATCCACTTTTATCAATAATGACTATTCTATATTATCCCTATTTTAAAAAAATGTACTATTTAGCATCATAATTTTAGAGTAGGACACATCCATCTTTTGATATATTAAAGAACATGTACTTAAAAGTTTTTTATAAGTTGGAAAATGAATTTTTTCATTGTGAAACCTATGAGTTAGCCAAGCATAAATGAGTTTCTTTTCCAAACAAAAATGAGAGATGTCATACCCCCTTCAACCCTATTCATAGTAATATCGGGGGATCCTAAAAAATTTCTAACATCTTAGGGGCTCGATGGTTTTTATGCTTCATTAATGACTGCACTAACATCTTAGGGGCTCGATGGTTTTATCATTCATTAATGGCTATACTCAAGTCTCTTGGATCTTTTTCCTAAAAAAAAAATATGATGTTAGCACTACTCATTTTTCACATCATGATCCAGAACCAATTCAGGGTAAAATAAGACATTTTGTTTCGATAATGCCAAAGATTATCTTAACCAAGCCTTATCCTCCTACTTTTGAAAGAAATATATTATTCATGAGTCCTACTGCTTCATAGCCCACAACAAAACGGAGTTGCATAAAGAATATGAACCTTCTCTTGAATAATGTACCCAAATCATACTGGGGGAAGCCCTTCTGTCTGCCATATACCTCATAAATCGACTACCTTCAACAACCTTGGGACTAAAAACACAAATGGATATTCTATCCTCTTTTTATCATGAATTCCGAGCTCATAATAACCTCACACCTAGAATGTTTGGACATCATAGTCAAAATAGAGGAAAATTAGATGCAAAAGTTCTCAAATGTATCTTTGTTAGATATTCATCCACCCAGAGAGGTAATAAGTGTTATCACCCCTCCACCAATAAAACCTTTATATTTGTTGACGTTACTTTTGACGAACAAAAATTCTATTTCACCAAATCTCATCTTTAGGGGGGGATTGAAACTGAGGAAGATGAGGAAAGTGAGGTTGCCTCTCTTGACCTTCCGGCTCCTCCTTAAACCAATCAACCTAAAGCTGAAATCAAAGCCATAGAAACTGAGGACAAAGCTATTATGGATAACATGAGGTTTAAAAAGTATATTTCAGGCGTACAACTCCAAACTATGCTTCATAGTAGATCCTAGAATATGAACCGTCACTTGAAATCGAGGTAAACACAAGTTCACCAAAAAAATCTCCCGTGTATCCTTCCATAACTTCTCACCTTCACACAAAAGTTCTCTGGTCACACTAAATGATTTTGCACCTGTGGCCAAGATGAACACCGTGAGGATTTTGCTCTTACTAGCAGCTAATTATAACTGCCATATGGAATAAATGGATGTTAAAAATGCATTCCTACATGGGGGCTTGAAGTAATAAATATTTATGGAGATTCCACTAGGATTTAAGAAAAAATCTAGGGGTGACAAAGTGTGTAGGTTAAAAAGAGATCTATTTGGGCAAAAGCAGTCAGCTAGGGTTTGGTTTGGAAGATTATCAAAAGTTATGCTACTACTCAATGGATATCGGCAAAGCCAAGAGGGCCATCATTATTTTTCAGCACTCAGACTCAGTGGGAGTCACAATTATATTAGTTTATGTGGATGATATCATTTTGACTAAAATGATGAAAAGGAGAAAATGATTTCTAAGAAAATGTTTTGCCAATGAATTTGAGATCAAAGAACTTGGTAGATTAAAACATTTCCTTGCAATTGAAGTGGCCCACTCCAACAAAGGAATCTTCATTTTAGAAGATAAATATATTAATGATTTTTTTAAAGACAGATAAATTAGCTTGCAAATCGGCACCATCACCAGTAGAACCACATCTTAAATTGGAGGAAGTTAAAGAAGATGTAGACGTAGATAAGGTAGTTTACCACAGATTTGTGGGGAATTTGATTTACCTTTCTCACACCATATTAGATATAGACTTTGCTATAAGACTCACATGAAAGCTATAGACAGAATATTGCACTACCTTAAATGGAATCCGGGTAAAGGAATTCTCTTCAGAAGAGACTATGAAATAACCTAAGAAGCATATACTGATGTAGATCACGTAGGATCACCAATTGATAGACGATCTACCTCAGGATACTGCAGTTATAATTAGTCAAAATGGTGGCATGGTGGCAATGTCTGGTATAGAACCAGAGTACAAAGCTATGGCCGTGAGAATATGTGAGCATAAATAAAAGGGTGATGTAATGCTAAGATTTTAAAGATTTTGATATTTTGGACATGAAAGTGCTCAGTGTTCTTTTTTTTTTTGTAATTTCTTCCTTTTTCTTACCATAGTCAGCTTGCCATTAATTTCAATTTGTATTTGTTTTTGAAATAATTATGAATATCGCGCCTTAAATGAAGTTCACATATTTGAATAATTGTATTTTAATTACTGAGTAATATTTGGTCTTCCCATTAATTGCATTTATCTGTATGAATGCCTTAAGATAAGGCTAATGATAATAATGATATATGAATCTGTTTGAGTTCATTTGGTTTTCCTTTCAGGCTCTACTTGAAACCAGTACTGGTACAACATCAGGTGTTCATACTGCATCACTCTTTCTCTCAAATAAACTAAGAAGGTTAAGATATGGCTTTGAGCATGGAGCATTGGAAGTGAAGAGTCAGCTTGAGATGATTCTTTTTGCTGAGATCGTCACTACCATAAAGATTTTGTGAGTATATAAATATCCTATTTGAGGTAAAATACATGAAATTATCAAACATGCTTATTCTTTCTACCTTAAAATTGTTAGTTATGTGAGGAAGGAGGCACATCGCATAGGCTTGAGCCCCTGGGTCATCCATTTCTATATAGACAAAGTAATTGTCCTTCTGGAGTTATTTGTTGAAGCAATTTTTTTTGACGACTATTCATTCTGATTTTAATTTAAGATCTTTTTTTTTATATATAAAATTGGTTTCTTAGGAAAGAATGTCAAGTACAAGATTAGATATGCATGCTGTCAAGGATCAACTGCTTAGAAGTTATGAACAGAGAGCCGCACTTGATGATTCACTCCCTAAACTATTTTTAGAGAGCAAGTAAGCTTTTCTATTGTCTTCTTGATAGCTGATCGTTTTTCTTGTCCTGGGCTTTGCATACACTTCTCGCAGCTTTAGCTGCCATCCTACACCGTGTAGACCAGAAAATGTATGAATGTGTGAATTGCGCTCTTTTTTATTATAAATGGTATGCTACCTGAAATTTTTTCATTTTTTGAACGATTACAATCACTTTGCGAGATTCTTTCCAAGATAGTGAACACTCATTGGTGGAAATTTGATACGCCTTGGTTTCACCAAATTAGGGTTTGCCCTAATTTCCCTTCAAGGTTGGAATTTCTCCACCAAATCAAAGTCAACACAAAATAAGAAAGATGAGAGGAAGAACAAAAGAGCTTTGCATTAATCTTCAAGACAAAACAAAAGACAAAGCTAGTCCACTTCGAGAAGGACCAAATCTCCCAAAAGAAACCCTAGAGAAAACAAGAAGGAAAAGAGAAAGAACTTTCTTCACATGATGTCCCCAAAATAAACCCTAATGGCTCTTTTCATACCATCTCACCACTTCCCCCTCATCCCAAAATTGCCCCCCATCATCCACCCTCCAATTTCCCCCCAAAAGCTGGCCGCCCCCCTTGATGATCAAAGAATTCAAATAGGTGGGCCCAAGGGGCCCACCGTGACTTTCCCCCCTTGCTCCCTGGGTTCGGCCGAACCCCCCCTTGGTTCACCCGGACCGGCTGCCTCCCCCCTCCTCCTGTAGACCCGCAAGGGGGTAGGATGGACCGGCTCAGCCGGTCCATCAATACCGCCCTCTAGAAGATCAACCTTGTCCTCAAGGTTGAAGTCTGGAAATTGCTTTGCATAGCCTCATATATCTCCCACGTAGCCTCATGCGTCGGAAGGTCCTTTCCACTCGATGAGTACCTCCTCTTGCCTTGATCATTCTTCCTTACTCTTTTCACCTGTAGTGGTTTTAATAAGAATTGCATATCTCCTGTGGAGCCTCGTGGTATGGTAGGAGTGGCCATGATGTTCTCCCCTATGCTCCTCTTTCAATAGTGACACATGGAAAACCGGTGGATGGAGGATTGAGGTGGTAACTTGAGCGGTAGGCCACATCCCTACTTCCTCTCGATCTCAAAAGGCCCGTAGTATCGTGGGGAGAGCTTCTCACTTCTTCTGTTAGCCACAGTCTTTCTGTCGGTAAGCCGCAGCTTTAGGTACACCATTTCTCCCACCTCAAATGTCACCTCCTTGCGATGCGAATCTGCCTGGTCTTCATGATCTGCTGGGCTCGCAATAGGTGCTCCTTCAATTCTTCCAACACTCTACCCTCTCCTCTAAGTATTGATCACTAGATAGACAGGAGTCGTCCCTTCTGATAATTCACCAAGGGTGGTGGATCCCTCCATAAAGGATCTTGAAAGGTGTAAACTGAGATGCTGATGGTAACAAGTATTGTACCAATATTCTGCCCATGGCAGCCATTTGACCATTGCTTAGGCCTCTCCCAGCGAAGCATCTCAAATAAGTCTCCACACTCCGGTTCACCACCTCGGACTTCCGTCTGTCTGTGGGTGTATGCTGTACTCCGCTTCAGAATGTGCCCTGCATCTTTGAAAGCTCCTTTCCAAAATGAACTCAAGAAAAACCTTGTCTCTATCTGAGACAATAGAAGTGGGGACCCCATGCAATCGAACCACCTCTCTGATGAAGTAGATGCAACGTAGGAGCTTGAAAAAGATGCCGTAGTGAATAAAATGGCTGTACTTGCTCAGACATCCACTACCACCATGATGACTGTATATCCCTCGACTTGGGTAAACCCCTCAATGAAAATCCATGGTGACTTCCTCCCAAAACTCTGTTTGGAAGCACCAAGAAGCTGCCACAATCCACTAGGGGCACAAGCTTGATACTTGTTCCGTTGACAAATATCACATTTGCTCACCATATCTTCGACATCTCCTCTTAACCCCTTCCAAAAGAATTCGGCTTTCACCCGCCGATAGGTCTTCTCCACCCCTGAATGTCCACCAATACGGCTATCGTGGTACTCCGTAGAAGAATGGGGCAAATGCTGAGTCGCGGTGTAGTACTAACTCCCCCTGTATAAAAAAGAGAGTTCTCTAGGTGATACCCTTTGAACCCTCCTTCTCCCTTCTGGATAGCTCGCTCGGATTCTCTCTAACTCCTCCGTATGTTGATTTTCCTTCACCAATTCACCCCAATCAACCAATTGGGGAACAGATAGTGCCATCAGCTGTGAGCACTCCACACGGGATAAAGCATCTGCCACCTTGTTTGAGCTCCGGGTTATACTGGATCTCAAACTCATACCCCAATAGTTTTGCCAGCCACCTCTGATGTTCCTCTGCCAACCACTTTGCTCTAGTAAGTACTTGAGGCTCCTCTGATCAGTACGAACTATAAATGTTTGCCCAATAGATAAGCCGCCATTTTTGAATGGCCAACACAATGGCCATCAGTCCCGCTCATAAACTGACTTCAACCTCGCCCTCGTGATAGGATCCTCTGAAGAAAGCATCGGCTTGTGATTCTGCATGAGTACTGCTCCCAAGCCCACTCCCGAAGCGTCGGTCTCAACCACAAATGGCTGGGTGAAATCTGGGAGAGCCAAAACTGGTGCACTATCATGCTTCCTTCAGATCTTCATGGCTTCCTCTGCCTTCTCTCCCCACTGAAAGTTGTCCTTCTTTCAGCTGATCAGTCAAAGGGCCTGCTATGGAACCATAGCCCTTAATAAATCTCCTGTAGTAGCAGTAAGTCCCAAAAATCCCCTTAGGCCTTTAAGGATTTTGGTGTAGGCCACTTCATCATGGCCTCTATCTTAGTGGGGTCAGCCGCGCCACCCCACTTTTTGAAATGATGTGCCCCAGATACTCCACCTCCTTCTGCGCGAAAGAACACTTTCTTCTGGTTGGCATTATAATGATGCTCCAATAAGTAGTGAGTTACCACCCCTAGAATGGTGATATGGTCCTGCAGAGATTTGCTTATAAACCAATATATCATAAAAAAAAATAGAACAAACCTCCTCAAGTTAGGCTGGAAGACCTGATTCATCAAGCTTGGTAAGGTGGAGGAGCGGTTAGTAGCCCGAATGGCAATCACTACGAAACTCATAATGACCCTCATGTGTTCGAGAACTGCTCTTACTGAATGTCTCGTCTCCAATCCTAATCTGGTGATAACCAGATTTCAGGTCCCCTTGGAGAAGATGTGCTCCCCCAAGCTCATCCAAAAGCTCATCTCCGGAATAGGGAATTGTTCAAACACAGTCTCCTTATTGAGGCCCGATTAGTCCACACAGGACATCGCCAACTTCCGTCTTTCTTTTTTCCAAAGATAAGGCGGAAAATGGCTCACACTGGCTGGATACACTGAACCTCCATCACTCTCTGCTACTAACCTCTCAATCCTCTTTCTTTCTGAGCATTGGAATATCTGTATAGGGTCGCACGCTTATGGGTGCTACCCCGGTCCTTCAACACCAATAGCATTGCTCCCTGGATCTATAGGGAGTAGCCCTGGGGCATCTGAAACATGTGGAGTCTGTTTGTAGAAATCACTGACCACCTCAGGTTATGTCTTCTGACTCCTTTTCCTACTCCTATGCCCACCTGCTGTAGCTCTATCAAAATAGCCCTCTCCATCATCCTCAAAGTCTTGACAAGATGGCTTCAAGCCACTCGATCTGCACAAACTGGGGTCTTCCCTTGTAGCGTCACTCTCCTCTCCCCTTCCCATACTCCATGCTACAATTTTCTTCCATTTCACCTTCATCTCCCCCAAGGACTGGAGCCAACTGCATCCCAAGTATCCGTCAGTGCTTCCCAACTCAAGTAGTAGGAAGTCTTGACTATCCTCCTCTCCATTGCAATGTTAGGGTCACTCCCTTTTACACTGCCCGTACAGTTCTTCCTTCTTCCCCGTGCCCAAAAATGACACCTACACTCCCCTGTGTGTCACTGGTAGCCCCAACCTTTCCACAAATCTGCAAGCAATTGAAGTTGTTTGGTGGCCCACTATCAATCAGACCATCACCTTGTAGCCTATGCAAATCTCCCCTCTAGCTGTACAATGAATGCAGATTCAGTCCGCTATGGAGTTGAAGTGATGACCTCACCATAGCCAAGTGAGGTGCTCTCCCAACTTCCACCCTCCTCAGTTGCTCCTGTTATCTCCTCTTTTCCCCCTCTGAATCCTCCACATAGAGATCACAGTAGTTCTTCTCCTTACACCTATCCTTGTTAAACTTTTCATCAACGGGAATGCAAAGCCCCTTGCCCTTTTCCTCAGCTCGCTGGAGCTCAGTCAACCTCTTGAACCCCCCTTGGTCATTCCTGTAGTGGTGTTCTTGCCGTGGCTTACCTCCCCTAGGAGGAGGATGGTAACCGCCTTTGTACCTCCACCCATGCCGGTGGTGGTCGGAGAAGGTGTAAGGACACCGCCTGATCTCCTCGGTGCTCCCACCTTCAGTGTTCCTCCACCTACTGTCTGCAGTCTCCATGATCCACTAACCCCTGTGGAGCCCACTACTCTGATGCTTGCTCTGATGTGAGCTTCAACCCCTTCATGAAACTTCCCTCTAGAAGTCATCTGGAATCCCCTCAGGTCTGCTATAGTCACTTCAAATTGCTCTCTATACTCTGCCACCTGCCCTCTGTAAACTAGAAGCCAACAACTGCTCATAGCATGTCCCTCACCTTGACACCCTGAATAACTATGAGTAGTTAGTCTTAACTCCATCCCAAACTCCTAATATTTGCTGTCTCCCTTCAAGCCACTGAAACCAGCCAGACGCCTTCCCTCCAAGCACATGACCGTTCCATCAAGTTTCTCCATCTTCGTGACACCGTTCACCTGCCATAAATAGCGCTCCACCCTGTAATCCATCCATACCGCATCCTCCCCTTCAAAAAATAGGATACTTCAATTCCTATGCGGATTGTCAGCTCGGTGGAAGGTTCTTTCCATTCTCCCCATGGTCCCCGAGTAATCCCTCACCTTGTGGCCTTCCCCTTCTCTCCATCGGGTAAGGATTTTGAAGTCCCCTCCATAGTGGTTCTCTTGGCTCTCCATAAGCCCATGCCGTAGTAGTCCCATCCCTCTATACCTCACCTGCTCCCACGTGGCAACGATTTCCTTCCGTTTTGATTTCGGCCATTTCCTTCACTGGTGCCAGTGGGGGCCTACTCGAGCCCATGTATGGTCGGCCTCCCTGACCACCTGTCATCCCCCAAAGGCCACCTATTCCAGACCCTTCTCCTCCTTCCCTTTGCCATTGGCCTTGCATGCCATCTTCACTCTGATTTACTCCTTCTTCCCTAATTGGAAAATTAGGGTTAGGGTTTTGATTCGTCACCGGAGATTTCCCCTTTTCCTTAGGGTTTGGTGGAGCAACTTGAGCTTCTAACAATTTTCGGATCATCTCTTCCATTCCCCCAAATCTCTCTTCAAGGGATGAAAATTTGCCTTCCATCGACGAGAGTTTCTCCCCCACCTCTTCTTTCAATTGGCCCATCTCCCCCTCCAAAACTTCCACTTTCTTTGACGCCATGCCGTCTAGGATCAAGAGCTCTGATACCAAATTGATACGTCTTGATACCACCTTTGTTGAATATCATCTTCTAAGAAAAGTACTTTTTGATCTTCATCCTTAATACACTTCACTTGAACTAAATCCTTACTACTCCTATCTCTTTGTTTGGCTAACTTATACATACATCTTTATCCCTCCTTATTATTTAATCTATTATATAAATCATTAAAAGCTAAGTTCTTTGCATCGCAAATAACTTTCTCAGATTCCTTACGAGTCTCTTTATAGCTTTCCCAATTATTAGAATTTAAACATTCCGTTATTGATTCATTAGCAAGTAAAATTAATATTCTGACGAATTAATTGAAGTATTAAACAATATGGGATTTAACGATTAGGACACTAATAAGTTTATTACGTCAGTTAATATGGTTATAATAGATATTTAATTACTAAATATTGGAACGATAATTATTCTAGTTAGTCATACATTAATAAGTATAGTTAACTAAGTCTTAACTAATAATTATGGTGTTAAAATGGCTTTGATCAATAAGCTAATGAATTCACTCTAATTAGCTATTAAGAGTTTACTAAATTGCTAATTAATTTTGCTTATATTGAATGAAAATTTTGCATCTTAATAAATTTATCCCCTAATAGATAATTAGGATATTTAGTTAGCTCAAACATGAGTTTTACAGTAATTTTCTTTCAGAAAAATACCATCTTGTATCAGTGCACAACAATTTTTACCAACCAACATGAGCTCTTCCCACACTACATGTAACATAGTGACAACAAATTTACCAAAATATATCACTCTTTCTAATGCATCGCATTATATTATAGAATAAAGTTACCAAGCAAAGCTTAAAATTCCCAAATTAGTAATCAAGAATCCTAGATGGCTATGCATATGCTGATGTAGTTGATCATTTATTTTATTTTTTAATGCCTTAAGAGAGAATATTAATTGCATACATTGTAATAACGCAGGTATTATTTGCCAGATGATAAACATGAGAAACCAGGTGCCATGAATTGCATTACAGTGGCTGTTGAATTTACTGACTCACATATATTGTTGGATATATTAAGAGACTTGGTGATACCATGTCTTCTGAAGTCACTAATCAAAGGTCAGCAATCTGCCATGTTGCATTTAGTGTCTTCTTTTCTTTGTTGGAAGGTACTTTTGAGTAGTGTTCGGTGGCATCTTTCCTTAAGAGTATATTTGATGGAAAATTTCTGAAATTACAGCCTGAATGGATGTTATCTTTCTTTTTTCCATGGCAGATACATATTTTAATTTATAGACTAATCTTATGTGTTCATTATCACATAAGTTTTGATCTGTATCTTTTTTTTTTTTTTCAGAAAAACCCGTTATTGTATCCATATTTCCTTTAAAATTAACTTCATGCTTAATTACTGTGCAATCAGTTTGCTTGAGAAACATTTGTTTATGATTCCATTATTGGTGACATTATTCATTTACACTACAATTCTATTTGAGGAACAAACAAGTAAGCATTTTCTTAAGTAAAAATATTGCAAGAAGTTGGGCCAACCTCAAGTTCTTGTAATAAGTTCATTGCAAACATGCTTGCTTCGTTTTTTATCTCTTGGAATACACTAAAATATATGGGTAACATTTTTTTCCAGGATTCTCTGAGATCAGAAAGGTTGATATTTTGTGGGATGATGCCCAGAAAAACTCCAACGGTGAACTTTTTCTAAAAGTTACTATGTCAGAAAATTGTTCCCTGGGGAAGTTTTGGAGCTCTATTCAAAATGCCTGTCTCCCTATAATGGACTTGATTGATTGGAACCGTAGTCACCCAAATGACATATGCAATATTTCTAGCATGTTTGGGATTAGTGCTTCATGGTTATTTTTTTTAAGAGTGAGCGACTTGCATGTTGATCTTTTTATTTGCTTTCATAATTATTTCAATAAATGTGTCTCCCCTTAGTTTCATTGTATTTTTCAACCTGCAGTCGTTGAAATCAACCGCACTTGATGTTGGAAGGAGTGTACGTCAAGAACACTTGAACATTGTTGCAGACCGTCTTTTTATCAGCGGGGAGTTTCATGGATTGAACAAAAAAGGATTAAAGGTGCAAAGGGACTATACTACTACTTCCTCTCCTTTCACTTTCGCTTGCTTCTCTGTAAGTACTTTTGATGACCTCTTGTTTGTCCTTTTAGTGGGTGTTTGATTACTACTATGACTATTGATGCAAATTTAATAGAATCCAGCGAGTTGCTTCATCGATGCTGCCAAGCAAGATTATGAAGATAGTCTCCGTGGTACTATTGGTGCTATTTCGTGGGGAAAAGAGTCTCCAACTGGGACAGGTGGACCATTTAAAATCATATACTCTGGAAAGGTAAATGGCTCGATCAGATAGCTTTTTGCTCGGTTGTTTATTATTTCCATTGTTACATTTCTTGCACGTCAGCAACTTTTTTTTTTTTTTTTGCACGTTAGCAACTTGAAGGCAATAGATACAATTAATTCATGTCTTTTTCAATGATCGTATTTGCATTATTACACTCATATCCATGGTTGTATTCGATATTTCTTTCTGCAAAATGTGATTGAAAACAACAATCTGATGCGGACCGCAGCCGACCGGCAGAGGGTCTTTTGCTTGCTATAAGTAGGGATTAAGGGGGGATTTCTAGGGTTATGCAAGATTTGAGTTTTCTCTTAGCCTCCTTAGTTTCTTTCTCTTGTTTTTCTAGGGTTTGTAGTGGGAGACCTTGTCCTTCTCGAAGTGGACAAATTGTATCTTGTTTTTCCTTGGATTTTGAATGCAAAGGTTTTGGTTCTTCATCTCATCCCTCTTGTGTTGATTTTTTCCTTGATTTGGAGGAGAAATCTTTTCTTTGAAGGAGCATTAGGGCAAACCCAAACTTGGGAACCCTAGGGCGTATCACAATCAAAGTTAAATAAATGGTCAAGTCGGATGTATCAAGGGAGGTCTGGTAAAAAGGATGTATGATTAATTTTAACTGGGACAGGTGGACCATTTAAAATCATATACTCTGGAAATGTATCTGTCTCTTCAGAAATATATATTTATGCAATTCTTAGCATTTGCACGATCTATTTAAGGATTATCCTAGAATCTTGCAAACACAATGAGCTTCTCACCATCTCGCCATAGCTTCACGTAAATTTCCCAAGTTCAGAATCTTCAGTATGCCATAACAACCAAATTGTAGAATTTTCTTGTTTCTAAATCGAGCATTTCTCAGTAATTATTGCACCATTTGTGTATTTTTTGGATTTTCTTTAAATTTCATTCTTGTTGATAGTACTTATATTGAATGGATGACAGCTAAATTTTTTTAATTTTATCCAGGTGTGCAATCCTAAGGAAGGTGAGAGTATATATTCGATGCTTCAATGCCAAGATATCATCCGCAAAAAGATGGGAAAACCACTCCATGTGGGTGATATTTGTAGTTCTAAAAATTGGGACCAAAACTGTTGCACACAATATGAAGGACATACAGATTTTGCATTCCAAAGAAAGTTCCTCGCCCACCGGAATGGTTCATATACTCATATTATTAATATGGAGTCTACATTGCGTGCAATATTGCTCAAGTAAGTTCTGTTTTTTTTTTCTCGTCTACTACTAGTTGTTAGTTGGTATTGGTTATACTGATGATATTCGAGCTAAAACCATTAAACTCTACTTCAGATTTAATTTTAACCAATTTTCTGTCTACATGTTTGTGCTCTGATCCATTTCTTTGGTTTTTATTTTTTTTATACTGTAGATATCCAATTAACAGATATGTTACCGCGGCTGACAGAGAAATTCTCATGAAGGCTTTAGCTCGCCATCCTAGTAGTGATGCTAAGATTGGAACTGGAGTTCAAGATATTAAGGTATGGCTGAACTAAATAGAAAATTCCTAGTCATTCTTGTCAAGAATTTCTTCCAGAATATATTGTTTAGCTACATCCTCACCAACATCTTACGGCATGTTAGCATTGGTCAACTTTAGTTACTTCCCATCTATTTCATTTTATTCTAGCTCTCTACCTAACTATTATGTTTTCTATTTTGGAACAATCCAATATGCTTCATACGTTACCTTATTGTTAAATGAGTCTCTTAACATATTTTTCATCATTTGCTTTCTTATACCTTATTGTACTTCAAATCCAACTTAATTATCTCATTTCCTATCACAATTTGTTTTTATTGGTTTCTGTATGGGGAAAAATATTGTCGACATGCAGATTTTAATTTCTCCTATTTTATAATCGAATACTGTATTGAGAACAAAGTACAGTCTCGAGAGACTGATACAATATTCTACAATAGATTCAATATCAAAAACAGAGTTTTAGAAAATGATATTTCAATGATCAAACATAATTCAAAGAATAACATATCATTTCGAAATATAAACATGAAATTCTATAGAATGTGTTTAAAAATAGAAATTGGATTTTTTGAAAAATTTGTCCATTCCTTTATTTAGGTATAAGGATAATATTATATCATCTTAAAAAATGAACATAACATTCTTCAAGACACCCAAAAGAAAGAATGATTTTTTTAAAATTCATCATTTCTAAAGTTGAATATAACAAATATAATATTATATTATTTAGAAAAATAATAATAATATTCTACAAGTATATTTAAAATTAGAAATTAAGTTTTTAAAAGATATCTGCATTCCGAAAGATTTATTCCTTGCTTTATAGGAATAAAACTATGTTTATTTTAATTTGGGGTTCTCAAATCCCTATAGGAGCAAGCCCCTATAGTTAATTACATCTTAGGAGGGATACTCGTAAGAAAACTCTCGATTAAAACAATGATTTAATACCCTTTGACTACAAAGTAAAAGATAAGTAACAGAATTAAGAATTTTTCGAGGAGAAAGCTCAATGTTGAACATTTTTTAGCGAATCAAAGGAGAAAAAGTAGGATGTGCTGGATTCTGAGAAGCTCAGAGACAACCTCAGTCTATCCTATGTTGGGCTTTATATTTTAGGATAAAATTTTTTATGTTTGAGTTGGTATTTTATTAAAAATTTAGGATTATATTTCCGGAGGGTGAAGACTTAAAATTTAAAAAATTTTCTCAGAACCTAAATCTAAATTGGGTACTACACAATAGTGACTTGAACCTATTTAATGAAGTACAAATCTGGGTCAAACTAATTAAATGCAGTGGAAATAGATCTAGCTTTGCGAGCCCAGTTCATTCCTGAAGTGCATTTTTTGTACCATATTCTGTAAAAAGGCAATCAAGAACCTCATTTTGCTTGACTATTTATATGAAGCAAATATGAGCACGCTGAGCTTAAGAATGTGCTTTCAATCTTAAATTTTGTCCATCAAAGCTTTATTATGCCTCGAGTTGTTTCAAGTGCATCTTTGTACAGAATTTTTAATATATTGTTTGTTTTTAGTATGATATGCAAAGCTCAAAGTCCTGTAAATTTCCTCTCTTTTAGAGCTGAATTTCAATATCTCACAAGCTTTGTCTGATGTAAAACATAAATGGATTTGTATCTCTTATTTTTTAAGATTTTTTTTTTTCTCCTAACCTATTGCATTTGTTTCAGGTTGGATATAGCTCTGAACATAAGGGATCGAAGTGTTTCATCTTGGTGAGAAAGGATGGAACTACTGAGGATTTTTCATATCACAAGTGCGTCGCTGGTGCTGCAGCTCAGGTCTCCCCTGAATGTGCAGCAATATTTGAAAAAAAGCACCAACGACGATTTCCAAGGAACAAACCCATACCAGGATGAACAGGGCCTTAATAACTTTCAAGATCTTTACCAACTAAGGATTTGTTTGGGGCAGCTTCTTACTGCTTTCTAAAACAACTTTCTAGTATGAAAATTTCTTGAACTAAAAAATTTTGTACTAAAAAATTATTTTAGAAAACAGAAAGAAAGCTGTCTCAAACAAAACTTAAAATTAGATGACATAAAAAGTCATGGGTTTTTTTTTTTCTGTTTTATTGTTTCATTTTTGCCTCACTAATTCTTGTGTAGTGCGAAATGCACCAATTTTGCCAATTGACAGAAAGGATGTCTGCCACATTTTTGCTGTAATAAATTTTGCTAATCTAATGGTGTAAACGAGTTAAATTATTTATAAATAAAGAATTTTCTATTCATCATATAAGCCTTTATAATGCATGACTCTTGGTAGACCGAGAGAATATTGATACATTTGTTGCACAATCATTTTAATAGTGTGCAAAATACATCAAATCATAAACAGAAAAATGTACAACATGAGCTCATTGATGAATGTGAAGATGCATGATGCAAGAAATGAGCAAATATGCAAGGGCATTGCTTAAATGTATTGAAATATATGCAAATGTGTTGTGCGAATACCTCATATTTCTTTCCTACCACTCATATATTTCATTTCTACCACTCATATTTGATATGAAAATGAATTATGAGTGGTATGTAAGTAATATTAAAGTTTTAAGTGTTAAATATGTAAATAGAGTAGTATAAGGTGGTATGTATGTAAATCTCCCTTAAAAAAAATGTAAAAGTGCACTAAGTGGATGTACTATGAAATGTGAAAGTATGCATTATAAATACATTAAAAAGTGTGTGAGGTGCATCAAGTTATTAAAATCAAATTTAAACAAATCTTCAACTGCTTTTTATTATGAAGATTTGTTGTTGTGAGCACATAGGGGACTTTATGCCCGTGTCAAGCGCCCGCATTGACCGCTCTACCCGCATGATCGCATCGCCTTCGAGTCGAGTCGCATTTGCCCGCGTTGAGTGCCCCTGCTGACCGCTCTGCCCACGTCACGTCTACCGTGTTGTTGTCGTGCCGCTACCGGCAATGCCTGTACGAGAACGTGTAAATAGGTCGGGTTGGGTCAACCCAGTATCCCGTGCGGATTGGGCCCGGGTTGAAATATCTAACCCACTTGCAAAAATGTGTCGGATTCGGGTCGGGTCAACTTGTGTCAAATCAGTTCCGGATCCAACACAAACTCGACCTGTCATGACCTGATTTTGACAGTCCTATAGGAGAGTAGATTCTAAGATCTATAAAGGAAAAAAAAAAAAGTCCAACATGAAGTAGAAACAGGGAGTGCTACGGCATGAGAATGAGTTGAGATGCATTCTTGGCGATATATGATAATGTTAGTGTAGACCTAAGATGTCAATAGATAGAGACACTAAACATATAAAGTGCACCAAGTGAGGTATTCGCAACAGATAAATTAAAAATTGAGGTAATTTCATGATAAAAAAATAGTAAATATTCATATGATATGAGAAGAATATAATTACATTAATTATCATAGCATGCTTGTTCGCTCTGCCTTATGCTGCTATTGATTATTTTGTATATTCATACATGCTTACGTAAGTAACTCGCACGTATATAGTAGGTTCTCATTAGGAAACTCGATCAGGGGATTATGTAATAATTCAAATATGCGAAAAAATAAAACAAAATAAAATAAAAATATGAAAAATTTAATTTCTGTCTGAACTAGAGTACAACGGCATTGTGCTCTATAGCGTTATGACGTTAGGTTTAAGAGCACAACGGCACCAGAAAATATCGCTACAACGCTTAAGTCTTTGTTCTACAGTAATTTTGTATTTAACATGCAGCGCTACGATGCTGGGTCTAAGTGCTGCAACACTTGGTCAATGCTTGTTCGCTCTGCCTTCTGCTGCTATTGATTATTTTGTATATTCATACATGCTTATGTAAGTAACTCGCACGTATCTAGTAGGTTTTCATCAGGAAACTCGATCAGGGGATTATGTAATAACTCAAATATATGAAAACAATTAAAATAATATAAAAATATGGAAAATTTAATTTGTCTGAACTAGAGTACAACGGCATTGTGCTCTATAGCGTTATGACGTTAGGTTTAAGAGCACAACAGCACCAGAAAATATCGCTACAGCGCTTAAGTCTTTATTCTACAGTAATTTAGTATTTAACATGCAGTGCTACGATGCTAGGTCTAAGCGCTGCAACACTTGGTCATTAATAGCATTTTTTATATATTAAAAATTATAAAATATATATGCACTCACCTTTACCACTCAGTCACTCATGCTTGTCGAGGAAGGAAGCCGAAGGGAGAGGGACAATAAAAGAAAGATAGAGGAAGGAGAGAGAGAGAGTTATTCAGGGTATTTTTGTCTGTTATTTTTGTTCAGGGATTTCTTCTAATCATTGTAAGTAACTCAAATCTCATTTTAGTTTTTAATGATTTTGAGTTGGTCATATTTTTTCTCTTATAAATCGATGAAAGTATATTTTCTCATGATTTATCAAATTTTATCATGTAATTTTTTGTATATGATAGATATGAATATTATGGACATTTTGACTAATAGTATCGAATTTCATTGGGTGAAATAGAAGTTATAAATTTTTGGAGTTATAGTATATAATATAAAAATATGGAAAATTTAATTTGTCTGAACTAGAGTACAACGGCATTGTGCTCTATAGCGTTATGACGTTAGGTTTAAGAGCACAACGGCACCAGAAAATATCGCTACAACGCTTAAGTCTTTGTTCTACAGTAATTTTGTATTTAACATGCAGCGCTACGATGCTGGGTCTAAGTGCTGCAACACTTGGTCATTAATAGCATTTTTTATATATTAAAATTTATAAAATATCTATGCAATCACCATTACCACTCAGTCACTCACGCTTGTCGGGGAAGGAAACCGAAGTGAGAGGGACAATAAAAGAAAGATAGAGGAAGGGGAGAGAGAGTTATTAAGGGTATTTTTGTCTGTTCTTTTTGTTCAGATATTTCTTCTAATCATTGTAAGTAACTCAAATCTCATTTTAGTTTTTAATGATTTTGAGTTGGTCATATTTTTTCTCTTATAAATCGATGAAAGTATATTTTCTCATGATTTATCAAATTTTATCATGTAATTTTTTGTATATGATAGATATGAATATTATGGACATTTTGACTAATAGTATCGAATTTCATTGGGTGAAATAGAAGTTATAAATTTTTGGAGTTATAGTATATTATATAGGTTTTCTTGTTTTTTTTAGATTTGAGCATTTTGTTGCATTTCATATATGATATTATCTTGTATAGTGATAATAATACGATTGATATATAGTTATAGTATATTATATATTTTTTCTTCTTTTTTTTAATATATTTGAGCATTTTGTTGCATTTCATACATGATATTGCTTTATATAGTGATAATGATATGATTGATATGAAATAAGTGGGGCGTTTGCAAGGAAGGCTGACTATTAACACTATAATATGGGTTGGACATTAAAATATAATACCCTGCGCAGGAGCATGGGATGACCAAGTTTCCTTTAAAGATAGTTAATTTGTGGTATTATCCCGATTGTAACCTATAACAAATGATCGATCATATTAATGGGTAGAGAGTGATGGCTCATAATGATTATTAAAAGTCACTTATAATAATAATGATAAAAATAAAAGATAATTTTAATGATATAATGATATCATGAATACAGATATGGATGCAAATAAATAGAGCCAAGCCTAATAGGTAAATGTTCATGTTCGAGCTTGTTCATTATTAGATTATTCAAGCTTGGCTCCAGCTTGATTCAAGTTTTTGTGTTTGTATTCAAGCTTGGTTGATTTTAAAAAATAGAAATTCATATTTGGATTGCGTTTGGTTCATGTTTGATTCTTTTACACTTAACGAGTTTTAAACAAATGAGTTTTATCAAACCTACTAATAAATAATCACCTAGAGTTTGTTCACAAATTGAATATATGTATGGAGTGGTTTTGATATGCCAAATGAGCCATCTCACCAATAAATAATCTCATAAAATGATTCTTCTTATAAACAAGTTTGTTCATGAATAATTTATATAAAAAATACTGCAAACATGAATAAATATATCTTATTTATGAATAAATTCATTAAATTTAAATATTATAAAAAATATAATTAATATTTTATATAATAAGAATAATTTATTGTATAAAAATAAAAAATATATGAAAATATACAAAATAAAGATTTAATCAAGCTTCTTAACGAGCTTCTTATCGAGCTTTTTTATGAGCTTTAATTGATATTGTTCATGAGCATAAACGAGCTGAACACATTACTGTTCAAGTGTATTTATTTAACAGTTGAGTATTTCAAAAATTATTCAAATTTGTATGATTACTTAAACAAATGATCATAAATGAGTTTTAATCGAGCCGAGTAGCAAGTAGCTTATTGAACGCTCGGTTCACTTACAACTTGAAATGCAGATAAAAGGATAAAACACCACATTAAATTTGGATGTCCTACCTTGCTATATATATATATATTGCTAGCATTGATAGATATGATATCATATTAATAGATGTATGTACTAATTATATAATAGATAAGATAGATAAGACTAATGATATTGACATTGACACATGTATTCTTATGATTCATCTATAGACTCACGCATGATTTTAGTATGGATGAGTTACTTATTATTTAGTATGGATGAGTTACTTATTATTATATGAATTTACTATTTTATTGCTTTAGTATCATACTGATACACATATTGGTTATTATTATTGATTACTAATACATTTATAGTCTCGCATAAATGTTGATTTACAATTTTGAGTGTAATGATTCATGCTTTTTATTGATTATTGAGTCTTGTGTTGAAAGCTTTAATAAATTTGAGTTATTGTTACGCTTTTTAGCTCATTATGTAGATTTTAATGATTGTAGGCCAGAGAAGTGGTCAGGACCAGTTGAAATGAAATTGACAAAAATCCTTATGTTTCTTTTGATTTTGTTTGTATTTTTTTTTCCTTTATTCTTTTGTAGTTGGGAACCTATGATAGAGTATTGATCATATTGATCTCCTGACTGTTGTATATTAATTTTGAGAGAATGAATATAGCAAAATATTTTGATACATACAATTGTTCGATGCTTCATTTGGATATATATTATATTAACAATTTATAGAAGCTCTAGTATATTATTAAAACTATAAATACATAATTCTTCCAAATTTGAGTTTGGGATTTAATAATTTTGCATTAGAGCATTTGTTAGAAGAATTGAATTATAACCAGAGGTATAGGATTTTGTTATGAGTGCAACACTACGGTGTTAGGTCTACAG